TTAACAACAACAATAACAACAATATATAAGGATGTTCACTATAGCTATGTTTATAGTAATAAAAAATCTGGGAAGAGCCTAAATATTCAGCAAAACAGTTAAGTAAGGTATAGTTCATTATATGATGGAATAGTACATGGATATAATTTAGTATCTAAAAATTATTATAAAATTATATGTGACAGGGAAAAGTCAACTATGAGTACACATTATTGATAGGGAAGGAAAACCAAGTTTAGTACTGTATAATCCCACTGAAAAAATAGATGTGCAAAGAAATACTTGGAAGAGGATGCTGTTGTAGTTGTTATTGTGTGCTGTCAAGTTGGTTCCGACTCATAACGACCCTGAATGGGTTTCTAAGAGTGGTTTATGGGTTTGAATTGCCAATCTTGTGGTTACCAGTTAAGGGTCTGTATAAATGAACAATCACAGATGATTTTTATTTACTTCTTTTTTTGGGATTGATATTCTGCTTTTTATACAATGAATCTTTGATTTATATTATCAAAATAATTATTAAAATACTTACTTTGTACAACAATTCAGTTGACAGTAAATACTGTGTAGAGTATGAAGAAAACAGGGAGCTCGGGTGGTGCAGTGTGTTAAGCATTGTGCTGCTAATCACAAGGTTGGAGGTTAAAACTCACCACTGCTTTGTGGGAGAGAGATGGGGAAGTCTGTTTCAGTAAAGATTTATAGCCTCCGAGACCCTATGAAGCCGTTCTATTCTGTCAGTTGTTCAAACCCACCCCTGCTCTGTGTGAGAAAGATGAGGCACTCTGTTCCTATAAAGATTTACAGGCTCAGAATCCCTATGAAGCAGTCCTCCTTGGTCTTGTAGGGTCACTATGAGTTGGAATGAATTTGATGGCAGTGGGTTTTTAAAGAGAAAACTGGTTGGGAGGAGAGAAAGAAAAAGAGAAGTGGGGAGTGTAAGCATAAAGACCATTATTACATTGCTTATTATTTTATTATGTATATTTGTTGTGAAGTTAATCATAGATTTAGCAATCTGAAAATAAAATTTCAATGGAACAGAGTAGTGAATGGTTAATTTTCTCAATTGTAGTCTACTCCTATAAATTTAATTTTTTTCATCTCTGGAAATGCTCATTTTATTGTGTACGGAGCAGGTGGCTTTCTTTTTTTTAAGTCACTCTCAAAGCTTTTTTGGGACCCGACCAAGCTTTATCTAACCTAACCCAAGCTGGCATATGGTCTTCATCCACATGGTCATATGAATCCTTTGGTTGATGCCTCCTGCTATGTATCTAATCAGTTTTATAAAATCCATGCTCGAAGAAGACTCATATTGTTACTAAGCATGTGATGCTGTGGGAGTAAAGAATGTAGTGACCCTGAATCTGGTGCCCATCATTGCCACTAAATATTGGACATATATATTCAAACAAAGGAAGAATCTTAGTAATTTTGAGTGAAATTTTTCAGTCATGTATTTCAGCTTAGATCTACTAATAACACTTCTTTAAATGCCTTGTTAGACAGTGAAATCTGGGAATAATTATCAAACACTATACACAGTGTTTACAATAGAATCATATTTCTTTTCTGTCTCTTCGCCTCCCACTTTTTTTTTTCTTCTTCTTCTTCATGAAAAGTAGAATGCTGCTGAATGGTACCCAAATGTCTGTTGTATACCATGCCAATACAGCAGCGCAGCCAAAAATGTGAATAGAATAGTTTGCCAAGTAAAAGAAAACATAACAAATTGGTAATGGTTTCTATCTTGACAGAAAATGAAAACGATCCCTCAATGTGTGGCCACTCATGTGGACACATAAAAATGTCTTAGAAGCAATCATTTTACCTCAGATAACAGACCTTGACAGTGTAGTACAGCACCCTGGCTGACTTTCACTTCTTAGAAAAGTGGCAACCGTGACCTACAAAACAGTCTGGGAACCATGTAATTTATGCATAACACACATGCACATGCCATGCACTAAATAATGTTTGCTATAAATTATTTTGAATACAAGACCCCTTTTTCTTTAAGGGAGAGCATCTAAATCACCAGAGACTTGATAAAGCTGAATTGTATTTATGAGAGATGATGCTGTTGCTTATTAGATCATCAAAATTCAGCAATCTATATTGCAATAAAAAGGCATTATAGTTGTCTATAGGAACCCCATGCATTCTCTATGATTCTGCACAGTGCCTAGAACACTAAAGGTATTATTAATAGCTGTTGCATAAAGAAAAAAAAAAACAATTCTGGAAATGCATGGTAAGTGACCCTCTGTTTAAGAAACTGCAGTTGAAGACAAATAAATAAATAAATAAATAACCCACTAATGATCTGCTAATAGTTCCTTAAATTAATTTTCATTGACTAGTTATTTTGATCCTCCAGCTTGGTTTTCCAATTTTTTGTTTTTAACTCTCTGATAAGGATATTAGGAAAAAACTGATTGCATTGTGAAATCACATCAAAAACAAGAATGACATTTTCAAAAACACATAATTGATAACTAAAGTTAGTGAGGAATGCAGTATAAGATATTACTGACCAGGGGGCTAGGAAGAACCTTAAGAAGCTAAATATTCTTGCCAAGTTGAAAGCAAATTTGAATCCTGTGGGTTTATGAGTTTCAAATGAAACTTCTGGGGTTTGAATTTGTTGGTGACTTTCCTGTTCAATAAAAAAGGACTTAAATAGCTTATAAAAAGGTTAAAAAAATTATTGGGCATCAAACTGCTCTTACAAAACACCATCTTGATGAGTTAAGTGTAAATGAATCAGAAACACATGGATCATATTTCCTTAAAAAATGCATATGAATTCAAAAATAAGGAGACGAGGACTTGGCAAATTGTGTGTGTGTGTGTGGTGACTGAACCTAAAACATTTGAAAGATATTTTGAGACATTTAAGGAATCCAAAATAAAACTAAACCTGTCCAATCATTTAAAAAACAGAAAGTTCTTCTATGCAATGTGCATTTATCTCTAGGGGTCAATCAACACTTACTGAGCCTTGGTCTCTGGCAGAGAAATACGAGAGAAATCAGCATCTACCTTCAAGCAATTTTTAAGTTAAGTATTAACAAACATACAGAAGTAACAGAAAACTATTCAAAGACATTTAGGACTGGAAGAAAAATTCATATATGTAATCCAGATAGTATAGAAGCTATAAATTAACTGAGAAACACACAATTCCTGTCAGAGTCCCAGGCTAGGGAGAATTCATCCCATTTAAGCCATCCTCCCTTCAGCCCTTTGGATTAAATTTATGTACAGTTGCAGTCTTATTTGTTTAAATGTTTTCTTAATAAGTATGTTTATGTCTTTTTAAGTGTGTGTTCCAGCCCTCCATCCTCCACCCTGCAGATTTGTGAGTGTTCAACAAATCTTGCTGTCTGGTTTCCTGGAGAATGGGAGTGTTGAAAAAAGTTTTGAAATAGGGGAGAGATGCTGTCTGGCAGCAAGGAGTGAAGCTACGATTCTGGGTTGGGGTAATGGCACATGTGATGGTCTAGAGGATCCAGAGGGTGAGTCATGTGTGGGGGTGACACACTGGCTTACTTGAAACAACGTGCCTGAGCCAGGGTAGAGTGGGAGATGGAGGCTGTTAGGTATGGGGAGGCCTAATATACTGCATGTGAAGTCAAACTGAGGACAAAGGAGTGTGACAAGAGAAGTCACAATTCTTTGTTTTTTTTCCTGTTTGCCAGCATAGGACCAAGTTCTAAGCACAGCACATATGTTGTTGTTGTTATGTGCCGTGGAGTCGGTTCCGACCCACAGTGACCCTGTACAGGGTTTCCGAGGCTGTAAATCTTTACGGGAGCAGAAAGCCTCATCTTTCTCCCACGGAACAGCTGGTAGTTTCGAACTGCTGAC